CTCTAGCCAAGTACCCCTACCTCAAGTACCTCTATCTCAAGTACCTCTATCACTACCTCAAGTATCTCTATCTGAAGTACCTTTACCTCAAGTACTATAATAAATGTTTCAATATTTTATTTAGGATGGACTTTAATGGAAATCCTCTACTCTCCGCTTAAGCTCGGCCTTTTAATATATTTTGTTTCCGTGCCTTTTAACCCCTTGTCTAATTACTATATTATTTCAAACTATTAATAAAAGATAAAGCTTGTTTACAATTAAAGACCAATAATTTTAGGTTTAATAACTAGTTTTAAATAATAATTATAGATATTTAAAGCAAATAAACTAAAATAAACTCCGCCTGCGACGTTAAGCCCGCCTGTACCAACTTTTTCCGTAGAAACTGGTGGAAACAACCTGTTAGTTATCTCGGGATTTCCCCAAGTACTTAACTTAAAACCAGATAGAACAACTCTTAAAATTGTTCAAAGTATTGAAAAAATTTCTCTAAAAATTAATATTATTTTCTAATGAAAATAAACTGGTAGAAACAACCGGTTTTTACGGAAAACGTATAATGTTTTCATACAATAAAATTTTATTTAATTAAAAAAGAAATACTAAACAATTTTTATTATTAGTACAAGAAAATATAAGAGGGGGAATATAAATCAAAAATAGTGCTGCCATCTCTTAATCATATCCATTATTATTATAACAAATCCAAAAATAACACTTTTTATAAAAATAACACCAATTTTTACGTAGCGGTTAGCAGTCTGGTATAAAATAGGCAATGATACAAGACATTCTAATCGATCCATAAAACCTGATAAAACTATCGAAATTATCGACGAACCAATCGATAAACAAAAGGTGCAGTTCCTCATTAATGTAGGAAGAGTAAAAGAAATAACAACTTCAATGGAACTATTAGGAAGTAAAGTAAATAAAGACAACAGAAAAATAATAACTGCTCGAATTCCAAAAGACAACAACGAAAAATTGATATTGGATCTTATGAAAGAATACATGGCGTCAAATGAAAAGTATTATTTGTACTTTAGTAGCGAATCACTTTACAGAGATTTCTGCAGAGTTTACGCGAAATACTTTAATGACAACGGTCCAACACTAATCAGATGTATGAAGCGTGTAACTGTTGTAAGCGATAAAGTCGAACAAATAGAACACGTAGAAAATCACCACGTCGGAAAATCAAATCATAAAGGTATAGAAGAAACATTGGCATATTTAAAAAGAAGATATTGGTGGAACAACATGAGAGAAACAGTCACGAATTACATTAAGCAATGTGAAATTTGTAATCATGCTAAAATAGTCAAAAAATAATAAAAATATAAAATAGTCAATGGTACTACCGAAAATGATACAATGGTTGAGTAAAACAAAGTTAAAATTTAAGAAATAAATATAAATTACATTTCAAAATATAAATTATATTATTTTTTATTATATTTATAAATAGGTACATAATAATATTTACAAGTAAAAGAATCCAAGAAACTTACGGTTAAATCAATGTCTATTAAAAAAATTTATTTTTTTACCTAAACTTAAGTATTATGTACAATACAAAAAATACAAAAATAGCAAATAGAAACAAATAGAGAATATAATAGTTATGTGAGCCCTTCGATAACCTCAACACACGATTCATAGTATTTCCAAGAAACCCACCAGTACGATCCATATCATCATCAACTTCCCTTAATAGTTTATCTTGGTATCTCACTTCATTGCCAATATCTATGGAAAGACTCTTGAGTATATGAATTTTATCTTTTAATTCGTCGGCCATCCGATCGTTTTCTTCCTCGACTTCATTAGGATTTTGAGAAAGGGGCTCATAGTAATTACCAGCGTGAGCCCTGCGCATTTTTCTGCTATCTCCAATCGTTACAAAATTTCCACACAATGATCAACTCAATAAATTCACTTGCAATTTAGGTTAATATCCTTATTGTTTGGAAATCGACGTGTCCAATGTGTTTCGTATTAAACGTCAAACTGACAGTTATTTACAGATTTCTTACTTATCTAAGTGTGTACGAGTTTTACATTGAGTGGTGGTGCCATCTATGGGATTTAAGAAGTAAGATACAAATATTAATATTTTTGATTTATTTTATTTAATTTTATTAGAAATTTTTTTTAAATAAATAATAATCTTATTATTTGAAAATTTTATAATTATTTAGTGTATTGTCGGGATTTTTTAAAAATCTCTTTATGGTTTTGTCCCAATAGATCAATATGAAGAGAACGTGAAGAGAATCGATCAATATGCAAATACGATTAGGACACTACGGCAATTACGATAGATAACAATCTGTGGAGTAATTAAAAGTCTGTTAGAATCCAGAATACGGCAAGTCACCGCAGAACCGCGACGAACTCTTCTCTTCTCTCCTTTGGTGCTGTTCCGAAACGAAACCGCGCACAGGAAAATCGAAATACAGGACCTCCTCCTTTTGTCGAAAGCCGCCTTGTCAATAAATCAAGCCGGTTTTGCTGACAGTGAAAAATTGTATCGCTCCCGCGATCGCAAGAAGTCAGCACGATGAGGAAGATGAAATAAAGAAAAAAAAAACGATCAAAAAAAGAATAAAATTTTCTCTTTAAATGTTAGATTTCTTTATATATAAATATATATAATACTCTTTAATTGATTTTAATTTTTTTTTGTGATTTTTTTTAGTTTCGTCTCAAAAAACTAATAGAAGAAATCAACGAGCGATTAAATCCCAATACTATCTGTCCGGTCTCTAGGTAATCGAAACGTCAAATTAACGAAGAACAATAACTCCTTCAGACCCGTTCGAAGGCAGCATCAACGATTCGAAGCGGTGGTTCTCTCGCTGCCGTTGTTGTTTATCTCTTCTACTGATGGTCTTCGTAGCCCGATCGTTGTGTCAGATGAATGGACGGTCGATCCTTAGCGTGTAACCCTTCTTCAACTAGTTCTTTTCTTTTACAAACAACAAGATCTACGTACAGGATCGTTCTAACAACTACCTTCGATGATATAAATAGAAAACTTTTTTTATTTCTTCGACATAAAATAAGAAAAAAATCTTGAAAAGTTAAGGTGTGTCCACCAACACTTCGGAAGTAGAAGAGAAAAAAAGCCGCTAGTTCATTAACAAAGAAAGAAAGAAGAAAAAAAGATGAAAGAAACGAAACGAACCGGTAATTGCGCCCGTGCTTGTATAATTAGCTAAATGGATATAGAGGATCTGGTGATGTCAAAACAAAGAGAGGCGAAATCGGTTTGCAAGGTCCAAGCACAACAAGAGCTGTTCTGAAGAGAAGTGAAAGAAGAAGAGAGATTTGGGAGCGACGCGGTAAAGAGTATACGGGGTGGGGCCCCCAGGTCGAAGAACAAGTTTACAGCTTTTCAAGGAATACACCTGACATATCTCTTAGCTCACTTGTCAACTACACGCATTCGCGGGACCGCCCGCCTGGAACTCTGCCGAAAAAATCGATTATGTATTCACGAGGTCGCACACACGAAGACGGTCAGGTTCTTTAAGATCTTGCTATCTTTCTCACTCCGGAAGATTGCTTTTCGATTGTTACATAATTTTTCTTTTAAAAGATATTCACACATTCAACCAAAGAACAATTAAGAAACAATAAACAATTTTAGTAATTTTTATTATAGAAAATTATAAAGTGTGAAATGTTAAGTATTACATTTTTTATTTCAATGTGGTATTTTAATATTCTTACATTTTCTTTCATGTAAATATACGTTTAAACACAATATCTAATATATCAAACAAACAAGAAAAAGAAAACACACCCTTAAAAAGTTTTGTGAGAATCATAGGACAAATGATGATAAACAAATGCACAAATAATAAAAACACAGCCTGAAAAACGGTATAAAAGACTTGGAAAAAAGAATGAATAATCGATGTCGAAACTACTGTTGCCATAGAGCTAAAATTCAAACTAGGAGAAAATAAAATTGAAGAAATATATCAACAAAAACGGGAAAATAAATTTAAAGAGTTAACAACAAAACCAAAACAAGCGTAGCCAAACAAAACGACCAAGACGACAAAAATAAAAATAAGTACAATTTGTAGCCATAGAAGATACCCGCAAAATAATAAATAAATAACAAATCACTAACGAAGCACTGAAGCATTCAAGTCAAATGTAGGAAACATTATACAAATAGTCAAAGAAACAATAAAATCTGAGCTCTCCACAACATAGGCCATAAAAGAAACCAACTCCATGGAATACAAACTAATTACGATTACAGAAGAAATAATATAGATGATAGTTTAGCAAAAAGACTTCTATAATTTTTTATTTTTCAAAGTGGGCTTTAGTTTTTCCAAACCAAAATAATGAAAATTTGGAAAAACGTTGGAGACGTCACCGTCGTTTTGCACGCGGTTTGTTGAAATAAAAATCAATAACAGGTGCATGAGCGAGATGCCACGAGAATAGTATGCCCTAGAAGAAGAGATCCGAACGATGCACGTTTGTGTCTTAAAACCTCTTAAACGTCACCAAAGCTTTTATAGAGGGGATTTTGAATTTTAATATTAATTATTGCAAAAATTAATCAATTTTAGGACCTGAAAATGTTACCAATCCGTCTATTTTTACATAGTTTATCGATTTTTGGAAAGAGCGTCTTTCTATTCGATTGAGGGTAACGGCCCCATTAAAAAATGAATTAAAATTCAAACTATACAACTTATTTTTGTGATCAAACTCAACAATTTTAGGAGAAAATGTCAAGAGACAAAAAAGTTGCGTATTGAATCCCTCTATTTAAATCAGGTTTTTAGAAAAACGCATAATTTTGAGTCAATTTGGTCCGCATTTGATTCCAATGAAATAATTGTCGAAACAATAACGCACAACAACCTTAATACAATAAAATACAAAACCTAACTGACCTAACCTCAATTTATAAAATAAAACAAAACACTGCTATATTACAAGGACACAAGAAAGAAAAGTGCGCATGTGTCACGTTACGACCGATTGATTTAGCTTTAAGAAGTTAAAAGTTGGGCAACTCTTGGGACTAGAACAAAAACCATTTTAGTCGTAAGGTGTTGCATGAACAGTACTAGTATAACACAATACCTTATCTTTCCAGTCTTACGACTATACCAATACCACTTATCTCCTAAGAAATCTATTTAGTAAAATCAGTACAAAACTAATGTTGTTAAATTTTTTTTTATTTCACTCTGTTGCATCGTATGCTATAATATCATGGGGTCATTCTTACCACATGCACAGAATCTTTAAATTGCAACGACGGGCTATACGTATTATCATGGGATTGCAGTATAGAGATGATGTGAGGGATTTTTTTGTAAGTCACAATATAATGACAGTTCCATGTCTATAGATATATAGAACTTTAATATATTTAAAAAGTAATCTCTCAAGATACCAAACAGTTCAGAGTGTGCATAATCACACCGTACGATCGCACCAATATATCAGAACCCCTTTTACAAGAGTGGCTAGAGGTCGAAACGCTGTCAACCATTTTGGGCCGTCACTTTATACTAAATTGCCACAAGATGTAAGGGATCTTCCAGTGAAACATTTTAACACTAAAATAAAAGCCTACTTGCTTAGACGTGCCTTTTATTCCGTAGAAGACTTTGACTTTACATAACATATTTTAATATACATATCTTACTACATATTTGAATTATTTTATTTATATATTGTTATATATTTTGTTTGTATTTTATGTGACTTGTGTAATGAATGTAATGTTCTGTGACACCAATAAATCTGAATCTGAATAACTACGACTAAAACACGTTGCATGAACCCACCTTAATACTATCAAGTCTGAGGGGTAAAAGAACGGTTCCAATAGTAACGTTATTAAGTTCTAACGTTAACACTGAATTTCCTTTCTTATTGATAAACTATTTGATAAAATAAGTGCTGAATATTAGTAAAGACACTGTTTTGTATATGACAAGTAGCAGAACTGTAACAGCCGGGTTCTTGTCCTGGACTGGACAGAAATCTTTTTGTTATGTGAATGTTTTAATATTTTAATTTTTATTTTTGATAATTTAAACTTGTTTCAATTCAGTCTTTATATTAACGCGATAAGTTCGTATGATATGTCGATTTTTAATTTGTTGAAGCTTGTTATGTTCATTTTGATGCCGTGTCCCAACTTTTTTTGTTAAACTTTGACAGTAAATATTTTATATATCTGATGCTAAAATTTGTAATTTATATTTAATTTATAATATAATAATTTATAGTTGTATCTGAAGACGTTTTTTTTAACGAAACGATTGTAGCATCTATTTCAAATAAAATTTTTCATCATAAAGAATTTTCTTTCATTTAATTATGGACAAAAATTGGCGAGCAGTTTCAAGGTGAGTTTCTTCTGCTTCTCTTTCAATTTCAATTAAGCCTTACGGCGCCGAGGCTGGATATTGGACGTCCCCTGTAGTAATTGTTCTTCTGCCTTGCTAATACCCAGACTTCCTGCATGATATTACGTCATTTCCCTGCTCGTTCCCCGATGCTTTCTTTTCATGTAATTCGGGATCTCTCTCTTTACCTTTCTTATTGTCTCTTTTGTAATCTTTCTCGTGGGTATGTTTCATTTTTCATACAGACCAGGTAGGGTAAAGTTTGGATTGGTTGTTTTTTTACACAGTTTCAGTTTATAGTTTTCCTGGTCCTGCCTACTATGCTCAGATAGCAACACACTACTCTACAGTTACCATGCTAGTATGCGTATGTTTGAAGTTAAACACGACATATGGACTATTACGGTAAATACAATGATGGTAATTGTTGTTGAGCGAAAGAAGATCTCAATGAAAAGCTTTGTTAAGTGAGATTTGTACGTTTACCAGGGAGAAGTATTTGCTATTTGCTATTTGCTGTCGTGTCGCATACCGATGATAGGCTGCATTATTTCGTTTACCTTTGGTATGTCAAAATCATATAGTAGAATTATGATTATACCAAGTTGTACCAACATCAGCAATAAGTCTCCTACCAAGCTGCTGTCACTGTTATCCCATGTGAGAAGAAATCTTCTACTTTCAAATGATCTGGCATGTTTTTATTCTGTGACTGACGTTTGAGTTTCGGTTCGTATACCCGAGCCAAAAATTCATCAATTGCAATTATTTTCGAGAGAAGTGGTTATTATCCTGCATGCTCGGTGGTAAAAGTGTCTTGCGTACCGCATACACTTTTCGACTTCCTTCAGTGTATGTGATTATCATTGCGTTGCAACATTTTACCAGGTATGACATTTACCGAATCCGTAACTGAAAAGTAGCATCTAACATCTCGACGTTGCTAAGCCAAAACAGCATAAATGCCAAAACGGTCACTTTTAACATAGCTACATTGTTGAACAGAATTTTTAAATCTCCATCCAACAATTAAAGCGATATAACCGCAAACAAACTTCAATTGCTACACTATTGGTTTAAAGTTTGCGCTAATGCCTAATTCATTACGACGTGATGAAAATTTTACGGAAAAATAAACATATAGTATCAACAACACATTCTACAAACACAATAACACTTTCACATAACATTCCAAAATCAAGTCTGGATCTGTATGAAGAATGGGAAATATTCAGACATAAATACTACGAAGAAGATAAGATGTTAAATGAATTTACTGAAACCAACGGAAACCACATTTTTATAGAAGTTTTTAATAAATTAAAATCCAATGTTAATTTAAAATTCGCGCCATTGTAAAATGTAATTTCCTTTTTTAATTCTTCCGTCCACCGACTTATTTTGACATTCGTACAGCGCTGTTGATTAAGTTTTATTGTATAGTCAAAAAGATTATTTAGTAATAATTTCGAACATCCTAGTTCTAAAAACTTTGCATCTGCAATTGTTTAAATGTAAAAAGAGTTTTTAATAGTTTTAACGTTTATTTTGTATAATTTAACAATAGTTTAACAAGTGAACACGACATAACCTCTAAGAATCTTCTCTGTAACATAATAAATAGAAGTGACATGCCTCCAAGTTTTCTTCAAGAATTGAATTCCCTTTTGACGGTAAATACTTGTTATATACTTGTATAGCTAGCTACAGCCTTAGCTATATACCCACACTATGGAGCAAAGTAAAGGTGGTCTTCATACCTAAAGGTGGTAGGCGTTCAAACGCCGAGCCCCAAGGCATACAGACCAATTAGCCTACCTTTATTTCTCTTCAAAAGGATGGAAAAGGTAATTGATCAATACCTTAGGAATGGAGTGCTTGTGACTAATCCACTCCACCCTAGCCGACATGCTTACCAGAAAGCAAAATCAACAATTACTCCTCTCCATGCTTTGACTTGTACTTTAGAGGAGGCAATTGCAACCAAAGAGGTAGCCCTATGTGCTTTCATAGACATAGAGGATGCTTTTGATAATACCTCCTATAAATCCATAGAGAAGGCTCTAAACGTAAAAGATAAACATCCGTCGACAATTAAATGGTGTATAGCCATGTTGAAAAGTCAGCAGATCACAGCCAGTCTGGGAGCTATCACCTCTACTATGGTGCCTGGTAGTTGATGACTTGATGAACACCCTAACAAAAATTGGATTCAAGATTCAGGGGTATGCTGATGACATGGTGATCACAATCCGAGGTAAATATGATACAATCATAACTCAACTAATGTAGAAAGCCCTACTACTCACCGCTACTTGGTGTAGAAGCAATGGGTTCAGCATCAATCCAAATAAAATCGAAATAATCCCTTTCACTCGGAGAAGGAAGCTACAAATAAAAGCACCCTCCATTGAAAGCAGAACTATTAACCTCAAAACAGAAGTTAAACACCTAGAGGTAATACTAGACAGTAAACTAAACTGGAACTCATACTTAGATAAGGTAAGGAAAACGGCCATCATCGCAAACCAGATCTGCCGCAGACTCCTAGGAAGGACCTGGAGTCTCAAACCACGAATGGCTCATTGGGCCTACGTAGCGATAATCAGACCCATGGTCGTCTACGCCTCATTGGTTTGGTGGCCAAAAACAAAACATAAGACAGCACAACAACAGCTGGCACAAATCCAGTGGTAAGCATGTCTTAATATAACGGGTGCAATGAGATCTTGTCCGACGGCTGCTTTTGAAGCCCTGCTCGGTCTCACACCACTCCATTTATACATATATAAGATACCGGACATCCTGTATACAAAAGGAGGCATCTTCAAGTGCCTTATCACTGAAAACGTTTCTTCACTCAAGGTGATGCGGTGTAACCTCAGAGGACACCTCGAAATACTCAAGGACCCATGTCTAAATCACCTGATTGAAATTAAAACGGCCCTTATACCGACAGAATACAATTTCAACCAGCCGTATAAGGTCATATTTAGAAGCAGGGATGATTGGGCGAAGGGTGAGCCTCAACTAAAAAGAGGAGCTCTAGCCTGGTACATCGATGCTTCAAAGAAAGTTAGATCCGGAATAGGTATGGGCATCAGTGGACCAAATTGCCACATTATACTACCCCTCAGCTCGGACATAACAATTTTCCAAGCAGAAGTTGTTGCTATAAACTTTTGCACCGCTTTGAACCTACAGAAGGGACAGAAAGGTGCATCCATAAAAATTTTCACAGACTGTCGGGCCGCCTTAAAGGCAATTCAGGCCTACAGGTGTGACTCAACACTGATCAGAGAGTGTATCAGCAACCTGAGAGAACTCGCTAGGGGTAAAGATGTTACCCTATGTTGGGTTCCAGGTCACTGCAACATTGAGGGCAATGAGGAAGCGGACAAGCTGGCCAGAGAGGCAGCGAACATGCCCTTTATTGGACCCCAACCTTGTTGTGGACTACAAAAAAGCCACCTAAAACATTTGTTTGAGACCTCCCAACTGTTGATTATTTAATCAACAGTTGGGAGGTCTCAAAGGTAACCTTACGCTGGAAAGAACTTCCAGGTCACAGTGGAGTAGCGAAGAGTAGAATAACTCCGTCGCAAAACAAAACCAAAGAGGTTTTATGCCTCAGCAAAGGGGATCTAAGGACGTTCGGCTATGCGCCCTTAAAATATCACCTCATCCACATTGGACAAGCTGAGAATCAAACTTGTAGACTTTGCAACGATGAGCCAGAAACTACAAACTAAGACACAAAATTTTCGGTAAAACTCTCTTGACACCTACCGACATAAAGGTTCAAGACCTCAGGGCAATACTAAGGTTCATCAAGGATCTACATTTGCCCTAAACTTTTGGAGGGCTAAAGTTACAATAGAACTTATAGGTCGCGGTAACGAGAGCGGCCGCTCCCCTCAGCCCGGCAGCAATAATAATAATAATAACTTTACATCATTTTATAATTCAATGAAAATTTTGGATTTTTTTTTGAAATTGACCTGTTTCGTGGGCACTATTACCACTTTTTGTTTTTTTAACGTTTTTCTCATAAACAAGATAACAATTATGTATTAAATATTGTAATCATTCGACATTAATAACCATTGGGCTGTGTTCACAACGTTGATTTGACTAAACAACAATACTGATATCCATATGGGTATAGGTAAAAGTATCAAAATAAGTTCAAAATATTGGTACGTAAGAGATTAATAGATAAACGATTTTTCATTATAATATTTATAATTTAATTTTGAAGCTGTAAAATTGAGAAGAAAAATGTGTTCAGAGCAAAATTAGAACCGACGCCGACGCTATGTAATGAAAGTTTGTAAGTTTGCAAAAAAAAAGAGATAAACCTCTATTTTGATTAATTTTTTAACAAGGAAAGGTAAATTCATGAAGTATCAAGTTAATTTTTCAATATATTCCAGGCTTACACAAATCATCTGTAATATTTGGTCTTGAATCCTCATTACTAATTTAAATAACAATTAATCTAGCTTTACAGCAACAAAATCAAAATTGATGATATTAATCCAACTAGACTCGATTATTTACGATATAAAATCCTTGATTAAACTTCCTCTTTCGTTTGGTTTGATTATGTTCGAGGAGGTCGAGGTTCGGGGAAGACGATTCGCGTTCGGTTTTTCTCACGGGCCCTTCTTCCACTTCGTTCTTAAAACGACGACAACGACGTCGTCGCTGAACATAAAACACTGGCACCGCCACGGCCATAACAAATGGACGTCGATGCCGCCGTCGCCGCCACCGCGTCGCCGCCGATCCTCCGGACCGTGTTCTTCGGCTACGAACCCGCTCTTCAGTCCTACCAGAGGCGGCCGTCCGCCAACATGCGTCCTCCAAAGTCGCGACTTGACGCGTTTTTCAAGTGTCGTCGTGCTGAAGAGGTAACTTCTTCAACATTGGTACTAATGGCTCTTTTCTTGTTCACCCTTCGCATTGGATTTACGCAGGCAGGTTAGTTCTTGTTCTTGGTTACATTTGTTCCACCTTTTATGGTGGTAAATAAATTTATAGTACTTCTTTTGAAGGGTTAATTTTTTTAAAGTAATTATGTTTCAAGAAAGACTCTGTTATTGTTGTGTTTTTTATCTGTTAGTATTATTAAAATGAATCTAATTAGATTTTCATTTACAACTCATGGTTTCTAATCATTAAAACGTAAATGAAGTGTTTCTACGAAGAGATCATAATAACGTATTAGGGTCATTAATTTCGAACGGATTTAAAGTGGTACTCGCTTAGTATAGAACAGATGTCAACAAATCACTATAAAATCTGGTTAGCAAAAGATTTTAACTGGGTTAAAATTGACTATTCATCCATACATCAAACGGCGAACAGTTTTGATTGATGATTTTACACTAAGATATCCCACTTAATTCATGCGTTATTTGAATCCTCTCTTTTTATATAGTATTCTTTTCGGGTGCAGCCATAGGGGTCTAACAAAAGGTGTTTAATTATCTAAATATTCCACATCAATAGATACGTTTGGATGTCTATTATTGTATTTGTTCTTTTGTGTAGCCGTCGATTTGTACCTCTGGGAGAGACGAACGAACGGGTTGTAAGAACGACCGCAGTAAAGATAAATAACGATCCTGTCCGAACTAAACAGCCCAATAAATTCCGCACCGTTTTGAGTCTCTTTGATGTTAACTTACCTGATGCAATCACCTGTCGTATATCATTTTAGATTGGCAAGATATCCTTCGCGTAGGTTTTACTTTAACATAAATGATGATATATTTTGAAAATCAAGTACTAAACTGTTATAAATCAAATCTTGATTGCTGAAATCTTTGAAGATTCCCTTGTGATTTATCCGTTATATTTAAGAGATAGCGTTCAGTTTCATTTCGTGAGAACTAGATACGGTCTGCTGCACCAAAATTGTTTGAGAATCTTCCTTGTTGCAAAATAGATTGTAACGTTTTGTCACGACACAACAAAAGATGTATCTAAAAACGAATTCCAAGTTTAATTTCTTCGTTTAATTTATACGTCTAATTTAATGAAATTTTTCTACCATTAGCAAATGAACTGGAAAATCAAGTACGGTTCATGGCAAATTGGTCAATTAATTTAAGTGGACACCATATTATTTGTTCGCGCACGCTATACGCCTTCCGAGCGAATCGAAGCGGAGGAAATAAAAGTAAACACGAAGAGCACCACGCTTCAATTGTAGCCGCAAGCACCCAAAGAAGCAGCATTATTCCGGTGATTGAAGAAGCGGCGGCGGACCAATTCCAGTCAAATAAGCAAAAAAGAATACATTATACTTTTATAAATGAAGTATCGTGCACTAATTCTCTTCTTATCATCCGTCGAAGGGGGTCTTCGTAAAAGAACCGGCTATTTTACCTACCGCAAGTGAAACCGGGTTGGTCTCGCACTTCTTTACCGTTATTTCCAGAGCGCCGTCGGGGGATAACGACGCCGTTTTCAGACGACGCTGACGTCGTCACTCGAAAGCAAAACCGCCAAGAGATTTCGAGGAATCTTGATCAACGGTAAAATTGCACCTTGGAACTTGCTTATACTGGAATCAATAAAAACCAGAATATTTCAATAGTTCATCATTTAAATTTATAATTTCATTACAACGAAGAATTTTTCAAAAATTTCACATATTATTAATTACTTTTCTTTGATTCGATTTTCAATTTAATCGATTAAGATTAATTATTAAAAATAGTAGTTTTTACCAGTTTTTAGCAAAAATATCTTAATTGAAAATCACTTTGCATTTACTTATAAATCATTCAAGTAAGTCTGTGTTTTAGTATCTTCAATCATAGTTTTTAGCTAATCTCAACACAAACTTGTTAATTAACTGAACGGAAGAAAACATAGAATCAAAACTCATTACATCTAATGATAAAATCAATATAGAAAGAAATGTCTAAATATGCAAACGATACCCCTTGATTTGATGAACTACTCAAAGAGATTTGTTTATAGAGTGGAACAGTTCGTGTAAAAATCCCAACAATAATAGACTATAGGATTAAGATCTGGTGAATGAGGAGGCCAATCAAAATTATGGTTCGTCTCCATATTACTGCCGCATGTAATATCGCCGATTCCTGTTCAACGTTCCAAAAGTAAGGAAACTTATCTCCTGGAATTTTTGTTTTGCCATCTCTACGCCTTTCGTCAACATTTCCGCTCTTACTTTCCGTTTCTATACCTTTTTGAGTGATATGTCCCCTTAAGGTCAGAGTTTAATATTATTATGGTGATTACTTAGATCTTCACATAAATTATCATTTTTAACTGAAAACATTTTCTAGAAAAAAATCTAATTTGAAAAGCTCTTGACTCTATTTTTAAGACTCTTTAAAGAACTCTTTAATGACTTCTTTAAGACTTTTATTTTATTAGTAATGTGTAAAAATAAAGGGAAAAGAAGAAAAACAATCTTGTATAAATCTCGTTAATTCGGGTTTTGTCAGAAATCATAAAAATTTCAAAAAAATCACTACGACTGTATTTTGAAAAGTTATGAATTGATTAATACCATAAATTAAAGTTAAAAGTCTTAGTTTTTGAATAATGTATAAAAATAGAAGGGTACAATAAATCAAATTTTTAGGAAAGAAATTTTATGTCTAAATGTGTTATTAGGGTTATTTAGGATTGTGTCAGAAAAAGTGAAAAAATTACTCCGACCTTATTTTGAGGAATTAAGAAGAAATTAATAATTTAAATTAAAAGGCAAAGACTATTTATAAATAATCTGAAAAATAGAAGGCTGAAATAAAAAAAGTTGTTAGATAAACAATTGTTAGTGATGAATTTGTTTATCGGCTTCAAATCCCCTTTTTTTATTGTCTTTGCATAAAATGAATTAATTAATTAATTACATAAATGGATTATTTTTTTATACATAAATAAATGAATTAGTTAATAGTGTATGTTGGCAAAAGGTCAGTTTATCGCCAAGAGCGATGTCTTCCAAAAGACCCAACCAGCAATATATGTAAAAAAAAGAATAATCAATATGGCATTATTAAATATTTCAACATTTAAGTAAAAAGAAGAAAAGGAGCAGAGGAAAAGGAAAAGAAAAAGAAGAAACACAACGAGTACAGTTGATAGAGAGGAGAAAAAAAAAGAAAAGAAAAAAAAAAGGAAAAGAGAAGAGAAGTAGGTGACATCAAGAGTTAGATTAAGATAATTGCAGTGTTAATAGATAATCCCTTAAGTAGACCTTAAATGTTAGAAAACTCCGAGTGTTGCGTATTTCCGTGGGTAAACTATTCCAAAGCTTTATAGCCTGCACCGTGAAAGATCCATGATATCTCTCGGTGCGATGAATTGGAAATATGAGTAAGGTATCAGACTGTGCTCTAGTAGGCAGACCACGAGACGACATGAATTGAAAGTTCGTGTACAAGTATACTGGGGTCCGAGAAAAAGTATTTTATATAATGTAGCCAGTATACGGAAGGATTTGCGCTTTTCTACAGTCAACATATGAAGGTGATTTCGATATTGCGTCACATGGTCGTACTTACTCAGGTCAAAAATAAAGCGTAGGCAATTGTTCTGCAGTCTTTCCAATTTGTTACGGAGGGCAATTGCTAGGTCGGGATACACCGCATCAGCATAATCTATGTGGGGCAGTATTAATGAGTAATAAAGATTACGACGGACAGCAAGAGGAAGGAAACAAACAAGTTTACGCAAGCGATGAAAACAAAAATAGACCTTCTTACAGACAGACTGAATTTGACACCGCCAAGACAACACTGAGTCCATTGTCACCCCCCAGTTTTTGACCGTATTGGTGAAATGTATAACATTGTCAATAAGTATTATTTGCGTATCATTGAAAGAGTACAATTTTGCAAGTAAAGGTTTTGAACCGAATGCTATAGCTTGAGTCTTGGCAATATTCAAACTCAGGCCAAAACATTTACACCAGTGAAGTATCCTGGACAGATCGTCATTAAGCCGCGCCATGGACACCGGGAGCTCATTCACAGTTGTTGATGTATAGATTTGAAGATCATCCGTATATAAGTGACTATTTCATTCATATCGTTAACAGCCAATAAGAATTCGCGGTTTCCGTCAATTGCGAGTATTTCAGCGGTTATTTGGTCGTAACCATGGAGAACGATAATACGAACCTTTGTATTATCACTTGTTTGACATTTAATTAATTTCGAGACATCCATGCATGTTTCCATAACAATCAATGTAATTTATTAAAAAAATATAAAAATTCTAAAAATATGTATATTTTTTATTCATGAAATAGTCTAGCCATATACAACACGACAATCGAAAATACACGAATCTCGACGTATTGCCTTAAAAAACATCACGAGACCGAAGGTCGAGTGTTTCAGGCAATACGTCTCGTATTATCGAGTATTTTCGATCGTCTTGTTGTATAATATATGATAATTGCATGAAATGAATTTGGTAACACTGTTTATAAAAATTGAAAAGAGTAATGGACCCAATACAGTTCCTTGAGGCACACCACTATGACTTTGAAACACAGAAAAAGAAGATGAAGTGTCACGCACACAAAAGGAACGTTGAGAAAGGTATGACTTAAACCAAGTAACGCACTCAGGGGCAAAGCCCATAGCAGACAGAGACGACACCAGTAGGCTATGATCCACAGCATCAAATGCCTTGCTGAAGTCCAGCAAAACTAACAAGGTTATTCGTCGATCGTCACAGTTACGCTTAATATCATCAGCAACCTTGATGAGTGCCGATGTGGTACTGTGGCCTGGTCGGAAACCAGATTGATAGTCTGTAATTAGTTTATGCTCATCAAGGTAATCTTGCACTTGATTGTACACCAAGCGTTCAAGTGCCTTAGATAATACGGAAAGTATCGATATTGGCCGAAAATCACTTTGGCGAGTAGGGCACTTAATCTTAGGAATGGGAACAACGCAGGCCTGTTTCCAAATTGCAGA